ATGAACTAGGGGTGGTGGAAGGGGAGGAGGGTGGGGGGTGGGGATGAGTGGGTGACGGGCACTGAGGGGGACACTTGACAGGATGAGCACTGGGTGTTATTCTGTATGTTGGTAAATTGAACACCAATAAAAAATTTATTAAAAAAATAAGAAAAAAAATAAAGTTTAAGTATATATAATTTACCGTATGATCCAACAACTCCATTCTTAGGTAAATACCCCCTTCCCCAAATTACAAGAAGGTACTGAGATAATTGTACATCAATGTTTATAGCAGCATTATTGATGATAACTGAAAGGTAGCAGACAAAATTCATTTTCATGAGTAGATGAATAGGTAAATAAAATGTTGTATGTAGATATATACAATGGACCTTTATTCAGCCTTTATAAACAATGACAGTCTAGTATGTTCTAGAATATGGATGAATCTAAAAAGTACTTGAAGTGAAATAAGGCAGATACAAAAGGACAAATATATGATTCCACTTATATGAAGTACCTAGAAAAAACAAGCTCACAGACACAAAAAAGTAGAATAGAGGTTGTCAGTGGCTATGGGAGAAAAAGAATGGAGAATTCATGTTTAATGGGTGCATAGTGTCTGCTTAAGGTATTGAAACCATTCCTGAAATGTACAGCTGTGCTGGTTTCACAATATTGTGAATGTACTTAATGCCACTGAAAATGGTTGAAACACAAGATTTCATGTTATCTAAATTTTAGCTCAATAAGATATATGTATTCAAACAAAGGGATCACCCCATGTAGAGTCCATCGATTGTACTAAATGACTCAAGAAAAAAGAGGCTAGTAGATTTGAGAAACCTGCCCTTGAAGGGAGAGATAGAACCATGGGAGCCATCAAGTAAGAATAACAAGAAGATTCAAATTCGTGTTCTGAAAAGAATTGTAGGGGGTTCTATGTCTGGACAATTAAGTTATGCATTGAAGGAACATGAATCACCTTCAGGCAATCATTTAACTGCGAGTGCAAGACTTTGCAGTTGGATTTACCTGCCTCAGTGACTAGTCAGTCTCTGGAGACATCGAGAAATACAAAATCACTCCTTTTTACTTCAAGTATTCTGAAGACCAGACAGGGATATAAATCAGAGGAGCAGGCTGTTGTGGCACCACACATACACCCAGTGTTCTTTTCTATTTCTTAGCTATTCCTCAGCGAGAAAATTTGTGGTTCACCTTTGCAGAGTGTGAGTTTTAAAAACCATGCACTTAGTACTATTTGCTACCAAAAATGCCTCTAAGGAGATCTTGGATATGCCAAGAACATCAGATGGTTTGGTTTCTGAAACTGCAGAAGATTGAGGTGAGAAAGCTGAACTTCTAAGATAAAAATGATAAGTAATAGTAATGCATCATGGAGGGAGAAACGGAGGGAATATGGCAGGCAAGAAGTAAGAGGAATCAGAAGGTTAAGAGGAGCCAGGAAAAGGTGAAAACTCTGCCATCTATGTATCAATAATCCTCATGTTTCATCTGTGGCCCAGGCCTTGCCCCTGAACTCCAATTTGTATGTCCAAACAGCCACTCAACATTTTTCTTAGATAGAAGTAAACCTCTCAAAAACAAACAAACAAAACCTCTCACAGTTAACACATCTCAGACTGAACTCCTCAGTCCCCCACATCCTTGTACATCTTAACTGAGACACATTATTCTCCCAGATGCTCAGGTCCCAAGCCCTTGGAGCCTTTCTTTCCCACCCCAAATTCCATGCATCAGGAAATCCTGTTGGCTCCCCTCTGCATGTACCCATAATCTGACCTCTTTCCCCTTTCTCTGCCGTCTGCTGTCTTCATGAAACCTCTTTTCGTTGTGTGCATGAGTGCAATGAGCTCCAATGCTCTAGTTGCTTCTATCTATGTTCTGTGGTACTCTATTATCAGTCAAATGCTAAAATAATTTAAAACTCATGTTGATCATGTCATTTCTGTCTTCAAAACCTTGCGATGTGAAAGCAAAGTAAGTCAGTCCAAGAAAGACAAATTCCATATGATTTCACTCATAGGTGGAATTTAAGAATCAAAATAGATGAACATAGGGGAAGGGAAGGAAAAAAAATAAGATGAAAATTGAGAGGGAGACAAACCATAAGAGAGGGTGAACTCTAGGAAACAAATTGAAGGTTGCTGGAGGGAAGGTGGTTGGGGGGAAGGGATAATTGCATGATGTGCATTAAGGAGGGCACTTGATGGAACGAGCACTTGGTGTTATATGCAACTGGTAAATCACTAAATTCTAATGCTGAAACTAATTTTAAAAAAAGAAATAAAAACGCTTACTACAAAAAACAAAACACATTGCAATGGCAACCATTTCACTCAGAATAAAAGCCCAAATCCTTGAACAAAGTTAGAGAATTCTACTTACATGTTGTTGTTCATGTTCATGTTCATGTTCATGTTGTTCATGTTGTTGTTGTTCTCATGCTGTTCAGGAAGGCTCTTCTCCAAGGAAATCACATGGCTCATTCCCCCACCTTCTTATAATCTTTGCTCAAATCTCCCTTCTCACTGATACCCATTCAGGCTACCTGTTTAAATACACCCATCCTGGAAGATTCTCTCATTGCCTTATTCACTTGCACCATCATGCTTTTTTCTTAATGCTCATTACTTTCTGTATTCTGTCATCTATTGATTTATGTCTATTGTTTCCTGTTTTTTCCTTCACTAGGATCTAGCATGAAGGCAACTACTTTGTCTCTTTTATCCACAGTGTGACCTAAGTTCATGTAATAGTTCTAGCCACCAAGTAGGTATATAGGAGATATTTCTGTAATATGTGAATTGCCCAGTGTGACCCCCTCCTGAGACCTTAAAGTCTATTTTCAATGGAGAATTTCTCTGAAAATTATATCAGAAGCTGAGATTCCCACACAGTTGCCTTGGGGGAAGCTACTTGCATATACCCAGGAAGCAAAAAAGCTGAGAGAAACAAACCACAAATGCTCTTCCCCCACCCCACTCTTCCCTACAACCATTGGCAGTTCTGTAGAAATCTCATGGGATGGAAGTGGGGCCACAGAGTTTGAGAAGAGCAATGGTTAGATCCATGAGACCTAGAATCAGACTGCCTGAGCTCAAATCCTAGCCTTATCATTTACCACTGAAAGACCTTGGACCTTTCTGGGTCTCCTTTTCTTATCTATAAGGTAGGGGTGATGAAAAAGTCTAAGTTGGATACAAAGATCACATGACATAACAGACATGCATTTTCAGGTATGGGTAGCACATGGTGAGTGTTCAAGAAATTGGAAAGTTATGACTTATGAGATTTCCTGAGGTATGGAGGCATCATCAGGCACTAGATGACTGGGATCAGAATGTAGACATGGGTATAATTATAGTTGCAGATCATATGAGGAGTCTCTGCATTTTATATCCCCCTTTTCCTCCCATCCCCAATCCAGCATGGAAGATTTCCAAGATAGTAATGTCCAAATTTCTATTCATTTTACCAAGAGAGAAATTTGCTTAAGAGCTTGGTGGAGGGAGAGCCGTGCATTAGGAGAAGGAAAAAAGAGGGTGAATAGTTGAGAGACAGGGAACCAAGCATCTGTTCAATGTGCATCTTGTGTAGACCGGACTTGATGTGAAGAGAAAAATACAGATAGTGTTTTCAAGAATCCTGTGTGTGTGCACACCTGGGGTATGTACTTTTCCTCATGCCCACTCATATGCATACATACATACACATAAGTGTGTTCTCAAACATATATAAAGTGACGCCTAGGGGCGCATGGGTGGTTCATTTGGTTAAGTGTCTGCCTTTGGCTTAGATCATGATCTCAGGGTTTTGGGATCTACCCCCACGTTGAGCTCTCTGCTCAGTGGTGAGTCAGTTCTCCCCTTTCCTCTCGCTCTATGATTTATCTGGCTCTTGCTCTCTCTTTTTATTTATTTATTTGAGAGAGAGCAAGAGAGAGAGAGAGACTCTGAGAATAAGTGGTAGGGAGGGACAGAGGGAGAGGTGGAAACAGACTCTCTTGCTGAGCAAGGAGTCCATCACGGGGTTCCATCCTAGGACCCTGGGATCATGACCTGAGCCGAAGGCAGACACTTAAAGGACTGAGTGACCCAGTCTCCATAAATAATTTCTTTTTAAAAAGTATGGCTAAGCAAGCTAATATATAGAGTACTTTGAGGATTTTTTTTTAGATTTTATTTATTTATTCATAGAAACAGAGAGAGAGAGAGAGAGAGAGAGAGAGGCAGAGACACAGGCAGAGAGAGAAGCAGGCATCATACAGAGAGCCTGATATGGGACTCGATCCAGGGTCTCCAGGATCACGCCCTGGGCTGCAGGCGGCACTAAACCGCTGTGCCACCGGGGCTGCCCTACTTTGAGGATTAAATGAAATTGTAATACATGTTAAAGTTCAGTAAAAAAAATTGACACATATATAACACCTAACACATCATTAATGAAAGTTTGGGAGTACACACAGTACAAGTGGAATTCTGAGACCTCTGAGTGTGATAAGTGATGGCTCTTCTTCTGTTTGCCTCTCTGTTTTCTAACGTATCTGCAGTTAACCTCCACTGAGGAGCCAAGCAGCAGGATATGGTTAACAGAATGATCTGTGGAGCTGGGTGGCCTGGACATGAATCTTAGCTGCGCTGCTGACTTCATAGGTGACATTGGGCCCACTGCTCTTTCTGCCTTAGTTTCCTCATCTGCAATTAGGAGTACAGTCTGAGCTATCAGGCAGGGACGTCATGAAGATTAGGTCATATAATACATGCAAAATTGTTGTTGCTGCTGAATGAATCTTGGATGCCTCTGGTAACTAGCTACAGGTGATGGATCCATGGAGGGAATGCTCTTAGCCCTTATTTCATGCTCTCAGATGACACCCAATCCTTGGCCTTTTGTGGCAGGCCTGGGTAGCACACCTGGAGGCCCTAAATGTCCAAGGGTAGGGGAGATTGAGGGAGCAGAGAATGAGGAGTTTCCCCTAAGGCAATGCTCACCTGTGAGTCCCAACAGCAGAGCCAGCAGCAGGTAAGTAGGAGAGCTGAGTCCGGAGGCAGGAGCTGACATTGTGGAGGCCTGAGGACTCTGCTCTATACAAATGTGTGTGCTGGGGAGAACAGGCCTCTGTTCTATGGAGAGGAAAAGCCCGCCCCTCTTGTGATGTAAGAGGAAGCATCTGATGCAGCGACATGGCTGTGAGGGAGCATTCTGCTTCTGGATTGTGAAACAAAAGTCATGCAGAGAAGACCTCACATGGTGAGGAGGGCCTCTTCTTATGTTTCAGAGAGAGTGGACAGGCCCAGCAGAAATGATGCTTCCTGCCCTCCTGGGTCATCTGCCCTTTGCACTGGGCCCCTCCCTCCATCTTGAGGTCTTCAGGGTGATCCTCCAATTGGGAGCCCCAGGCCAAGAAGGATCTGTGGTTGGTGGCTGTGTCCCAAACTCCTGAGCCCAGGACACTTGGGAGTGGCTGACTTGTGGCCTCATTCTGTACCACTCTCCACCAAGAGCTGCTCAGCTGGAGGAAGAAATAGGTTTGACAGGGCCTAAAGAACTTCGGATAAAATGAAGTCTGCTCCAGAAATGACTCCCTATTCCAACCCTTTATTGATGGAACTGGTAAAATTTCACCCCAATGTACAGTACAGTGTGGACCATGGAAATTATATGTGCTTGAGGCACCTGGCTGGCTCATCGGTAGAGCAGGGGCTCTTGATCTTGGGTGTTATGGGCCCCAAGTTTGGTGTAGAGATTACTTAAAAATAAATAAAATCTTTTTTAAAAAAAGAAGTTGTATGCGTTGCCTCCAACAAAAAGCATCATTTCCTCCATTCTTTCAGGAGAGGAAGTGGTTTCTATGTCCCAGAAATCACGCTCCCAGGCATTTATCTGAGAGATATGAAGACCATGGCTTCACACAGTCTCTGCATAAATGTTTAGAGCAGCTTTCTTTGTAATGGAAAATACTGGAAACATGCAAAATATCTAATGATAAGTCAATGACTAAATCAACTGTGGCGCATTCCTACCAGAAAATATTACTCAGCAATAAAAAGTAATAATGTATTTACATGTGCACAGCTTATAAGTTTCCAAAGGCATTATGTTGCATGAACAAAATCAGTCTCATAATGTCACATACTGTGTGACTCCACTGACACAATATTCTTGACATTATACAGAAAAGATTGGCATGTGCTGGGAGTTTGATGTGATGGGGCTGACTGTCCCTAAGAAAAGGTAGCACAAGGGTAACCTCTGCGGTCATAGAATTGTTCTGTACCCCGAATATGGTGGTGGTTATACAAAGTACACATGAGCAGATGGACACAAACAAAAGCTGGGCATGTTACAAGATCAAGCTATAAAACACAATGTTATTATAATGTGGACACTGACTATGATGTTATCCAAAATTAAAAGATTATGTTGATGGGGTAGAGATGTGCACATGTGGTGTGAGGTTAATAGTAACAGAGCATTGTATACCCATCATCTAGAGTGAGAAGTCATTGAACATTTCCTATGGGTGAGATCAAGAAGTGACAATATAAGATGCTATATGAAATCTGGCTGTAACATCTAGAAGAATCAGTTAAAAATAATCAAGTGAAAGAGGGGAAATTGTTGCCCCTGAGAGGTGGCAAATACTGGGAGGTAGGGAGACTCCAGTTTTCATGTGTAGAATGTATGGAACTATTGGCTTCTTAAACCTTGTGCATATATGTAAGTTTAATGATGGTAAAAACGAATCTAGGTGAATCGACTGATGTTATGAGAGTTACACGTAAGAGAATGTTCACACTATGAGCATTATTATGAGTATGATAAGCTTGGATAAGTTCTATGCTCAAAACTCATTTACATTCATATACAGCAGTCCCAAACCCACTGCAAACATTATAATAATTTTTAAAGTTTTCATAAACTAGAACTTAGATAGCTCTAAGTAAGTATACATAAGACCATCACAGGACTAAAAATCCCTGTAAACTGGTGAATTGAAAGTCATCAAAGAGAAACCTAAATTGCTCACATGAATATACAAAGTCAATGCAATTGAATCATAATTGTAAAAGTGATATTTATTTATTTATTTATTTTAAAGATTTTATTTAGTTATTCACGAGACACACACACACAGAGGCAGAGACATAGGCAGAGGAAGAAGAAGCAGGCTCCCTGGGGGGAACTTGATGCGGAACTCGATCCCAGGACCCTGGGATCATGACCTAAGCGGAAAGCAGACACTCAATTGCTGAGTTACCCAGGTGCTCCACAGAAGTGGTTTTTTTGTTTTTTGTTTTTGTGGGGTTTTTTAAAAGATTTTATTTATTTATTCATGAGAGAGAGATAGAGAGAGGCAGAGACACAGGCAGAGGGAGAAACAGGCTCCACGCAGGGAGCCCGACGCGGGACCTGATCTGGGGTCTCCAGGATCAGGCCCTGGGCCAAAGGCAGGGCTAAACCGCTGAGCCACCAGGGCTACCCCACAAAAACGGTTTTTAATGAAAGTTGATACATCTGGGCTGAGGAGATGCCATGGCAGTTCTGAGCAACAGGGTGAGGTGGGAAAGTTTGCCCAAAAGAGGTATTGAAACTTATTATAAAGCTGTTCTAATTAAGACAGTGCAGTTAAAAAAAATACATTTTACATCAGCGAAACTCATTACTTCTCATATATGTTCTTTGGTGGAGCATCTGGTCAAATCTTTTATGCGCATAAAAAATGTGATTGTGGGGGGAGGGGCAAGATGGCGGAAGAGCAGGGTCCCCAAATCACCTGTCCCCACCAAATTACCTAGATAACCTTCAAACCATCCTGAAAATCTACGAATTCGGCCTGAGATGTAAAGAGAGACCAGCTGGAACGCTACAGTGAGAAGAGTCTGCGCTTCTATCAAGGTAGGAAGACGGGGAAAAAGAAATAAAGGAACAAAAGGCCTCCGAGGGGGAGGGGCCCCGCGAGGAGCCGGGCTGAGGCCGGGGCGAGTGTCCCCAGGACAGGAGAGCCCCGTCCCGGAGGAGCAGGAGCTGCACCAACCTTCCCGGACTGGCGGAAAGGGGCTCGCAGGGAGTTAGAGCAGGACCCAGGAGAGCGGGGATGCCCTCGGGCTCCCTGGGACACTAACAGACACCTGCGAGCGCAGGGGAGTGCTCCGAGTTCCCTAAGGGCTGCAGCGCGCACAGCGGGACCGGAGCAGGAGCAGCTCGGAGGGCTCGGGCGGTGGCTCCGCGGAGGGGGCTGCGGGGCGGGAGCGCGAATCCAACAGCGCAGGCCCCGGAGCACAGGGCGCCGGGACACAGCCCAGGATCCGGCCTCCCCCTGGGACAGGCAGAGGCCGGGAGGGCCCAGGACAGCAAGGACGCTCCTGCCCCAAGCCGAGCAGATCAGCGGCCCCGCCCCGGAGCCTCCAGGCCCTGTAGACGGAGAACCGAGAGCCCGAGCCCCGTAGTTCCTGCGGAGGCTAAATCCAGGCTTCCAGAGTTGCCATAGCAACTGCGGCTGATCCTCCTGGGGCCCCACGGGGTAAACAACCCCCGCTGAGCCCGGCAGCAGGCAGGGGCAGAGCAGCTCCCCCAAGTGCTAACACCTGAAAATCAGCACAGCAGGCCCCTCCCCCAGAAGACCAGCTGGACGGACCAGTGATACTCCCCCGTGTTCCAATACAACTTGTTTTTGGCCACTCTGCACTGAGCAAAATGACTAGAAGGAAAACCTCACCTCAAAAGAAAGAATCAGAAACAGCCCTCTCTCCCACAGAGTTACAAAATCTGGATTACACTTCAATGTCAGAAAGCCAATTCAGAAGCACTATTCTACAGCTACTGGTGGCTCTAGAAAAAAGCATTAAGGACTCACGAGACTTCATGACTGCAGAATTTAGATCCAATCAGGCAGAAATTAAAAATCAATTGAATGAGATGCAATCCAAACTAGAAGTCCTAACGACGAGGGTTAACGAGGTGGAAGAACGAGTGAGTGACATAGAAGACAAGTTAATGGCAAAGAGGGAAACTGAGGAAAAAAGAGACAATCAATTAAGGGACCATGAAAACAGATTAAGGCAAATAAATGACAGTCTAAGGAAGAAAAACCTACGTTTAATTGGGGTTCCCGAGGGCGCCGAAAGGGCCAGAGGGCCAGAATATGTATTTGAACAAATCCTAGCTGAAAACTTTCCCAATCTGGGAAGGGAAACAGGCATTCAGATCCAGGAAATAGAGAGATCCCCCCCTAAAATCAATAAAAACCGTTCAACACCTCGACATTTAATAGTGAAGCTTGCAAATTCCAAAGATAAAGAGAAGATCCTTAAAGCAGCAAGAGACAAGAAGTCCCTGACTTTCATGGGGAGGAATATTAGGGTAACAGCAGACCTCTCCACAGAGACCTGGCAGGCCAGAAAGGGCTGGCAGGATATATTCAGGGTCCTAAATGAGAAGAACATGCAACCAAGAATACTTTATCCAGCAAGGCTCTCATTCAAAATGGAAGGAGAGATAAAGAGCTTCCAAGACAGGCAGGAACTGAAAGAATATGTGACCTCCAAACCAGCTCTGCAAGAAATTTTAAGGGGGACTCTTAAAACTCCCCTTTAAGAAGAAGTTCAGTGGAACAATCCACAAAAACAAGGACTAAATAGATATCATGATGACACTAAACTCTTATCTGTCAATAGTAACTCTGAACGTGAATGGCCTTAATGACCCCATCAAAAGGCGCAGGGTTTCAGACTGGATAAAAAAGCAGGACCCATCTATTTGCTGTCTACAAGAGACTCATTTTAGACAGAAGGACACCTACAACCTGAAAATAAAAGGTTGGAGAACCATTTACCATTCAAATGGTTCTCAAAATATACCCTAAAAACTATAGAACACTTCTGAAAGAAATTGAGGAAGACACAAAGAGATGGAAAAATATTCCATGCTCATGGATTGGCAGAATTAATATTGTGAAAATGTCAATGTTACCCAGGGCAATTTACACGTATAATGCAATCCCTATCAAAATACCATGGACTTTCTTCAGAGACTTAGAACAAATTATTTTAAGATTTGTGTGGAATCAGAAAAGACCCCAAACAGCCAGGGGAATTTTAAAA